AAGTGATGAAGCCATGCCGCCTCAAATCCCTAATCACGATGATGGGTACTCCGTGTACTCAATCCAAGATCATTACTCAAAGACTCTCTTAACCCCCTCCCCTAGCTCTGACGACTAACACCCGCCGACCTTCTGATGCGGGCGGCGTGGGGATGATGAGTGTTAGTGACTTAATAGCCCTTGAGACATCTATAAACACTGTTGATTTTGTACATTTTCATTCGTTCATGTAATTGTATTGGCCTGAGGAAGAATTACCGAAAACGTGCGTTCGCCAACTTGACTTTTCAATTGTAACATGGGAATATTTGCGGAATTTTTATTTTTGTTTTTTATTAAATATATTTGAATGTATGAGGACATCGAAAATCAGTGGGAAGAAGTCATACTTCATAGGTAGTCATTTTTACAGAGTGTAGTTTTCGCAGGCTACCGGAAAGAAATTCGCTCGGAAGCCGGCATCCCGAAGTAACTGATTTATTGTGGGATTTTGCTGCACGGTGATTAATATTGCAACCCTAAGTAAGTAATCTTTTCGAGTCAAAAACGCATTTCAGAATTTCGGTTAATATTTCATGAGTTAGCGCATCTACTCTACAAAAGATCACAAGTGATGGCGGTGATAAGATATGACGAATGCTGTCCGTCAATCATTAAGACACATCACCTGCCGATTGACACAATCCTGGGACGTTGAATCGGTGTGTCAGACGGGGGCGGATGGAGAAACGCGCCCCGCCCGAATCTGGGCGCTATAAAAAACCCTGCCTGCATCCAGCCGCACCTTCCCTCCGTTCCCAAGTCAATCATTGTTCAGCGAGACCCGGCCTGACTGGATACTACTTGATCAGGGCGCTCTGGTTCAACTGCCCCAGAGCCAATGAGGTTGGTGGGAGTTGTCTTCTATTAAACGAAAACAAACAGTAACCACCACTATTTCCACCGTCAGCCGAATTACACCTGCCTAAATACTGGTTTTGGTGACTGATCGAAGACGTCCACCGCGAGCCCCAGAGGATGGACGCCACAGCGATGACCTGCAGGCGAATTAGTTTATAGTTAGAGCAGGGTTGCGCAGCACCTACCTATCTAACTTTCGTTTCCCCTCGCTCGCCATGATCCGACGGCCACACAATGTCAGGACAACCGGAGGCGCGCTCGGGTGCAGTGGTTGACAATATTAACCAGCCCGTTTACACGTGCCACACACAACCTGATTCCCATCATATACACCAGACTTGAAGAAGGAGACACGATCGCCGGAATAAGAGCTTTATTAGCCTGACGTTTCGGATTCCTACTCGAATCCATCATCAGAGACAAAAAAGCAGAAACGGGTGGTTGCTGCACAAGGGGCTGCGGTATTTATAGGATGCCGTAGCCATGCTACCGCATACCTATGAACATTCACGGCTCCCCCCTTCATCCGGGATCGCCGCACTTGGTGTGATCACTGCTCGATGGCCGACATTCGAGTCGATAATTTCTGCAATTCCATCACGTGTCTCCTTCTTCAAGACTACTTCCTGGGACTCGTCTCTTCGCTTCTATTGGCAATACACCAGACTGTTGTGAGGGTGACTGGCAGGTCACGTCATAGGGGCAGAATTCAGGAGAAGCCAATGCATCCGAGCTCTCAGTCGGCAAACTTTAAAGCCCCTACACTTTGCGCCTCGAGATGGATTTAAACACGTCTGGTCTACCATAATGAGGAATAGACTGAGTTACCGTGATACTGGATTCTCCAGGTTCGATTGCTTTTGACACTTTGAGCATGCAAACGGTCACAGGATAATATCAGGGCATTAATAGTTGTCATGGTCGGCAGGTACTCGGAAAAGGTTGACACTTTAACCACCCTTCATTCTTCTGTTTGTCTGTGCTTCCTACGCCACTGGGAGAACCGCGAAAAGCATCATTTATCCAAAGAATTCTTCAAAAACACGCACTCAGGAGTCAAGGCTTTTAGTGCATCTCAACCCTTAGACAGGATTTAAGCGGCGACTGTTGCCCTCCCCCCGCCCCTCATTTTAATGTCCTCACAGTGTCCTGGCGAGACGCTTGAAGCAGTCACGGTAGTGCCCCGCCAAGTCCTGGACTAGGTCTACCTCAGCCCTCGCGAGCGGCAGACCTTGAAGAAAAACAGACCTCTACAGATGCTGGCCGGAGGCATGCGCGAGGACCATACTCAGGCCTCTGTTCGCAGGCGATAAGGGCAGCGGTGGGGACGAGAGGGTGGCTGTGTGGGTGGCGGGGGGGGGGCAAGCACATAACTGTGACACTACAGCTTCACTCAAGTAGTTAGTAAAAAAAACCACCATTAATTCACCCCTTCCGCCCTACACCAGCGACTCCCGTGAGCGAACTTCCTGGGAAAGATACAGTCTGTATTGACGGCGCAAAACACGGCGTCCTCTGGATTTGCTAGCACTTGCAAGCAGGATTGCTACATCGCTACTTCGGCAGTGAGTGGGGGGGGGGCTCACTCGGCAGTCGACACTGCGGGGAGCGCTGTATGGTCACGAAGGGGACCCCCTCCCCCACTGCCATAAATCATGGGCAGCAGTTTGTTAGCCATAAAAAAACCTTGTGCGGTCAAGACCGTTGGAGGTTAATCGGTATAGTAAATTAGGTGCCGAGTGGAACAAATGTTTGTAAAGAGAGACCGGCTGGGGGCGAGAATGGTTTCAGATGCTGGAAACCTCTTGCGCACAGTTCCAGCAGATGGCCAAAACCCATGGCGTCGTAAACATAAAAGTGTGTTTTGAAACAACAAAAACTCTTAGAGCAAGGTTACTTTGCGGAAAGATTGATGGCATACTCAGTAGATAAGTCATGCAACCGGGGGGGGGGGGGCGTTTGTTTTCCCTTTGGAATTCCCATGACACCAACTTATATTTGCCTCAAAAAACGATCAGCTTGTAAACTTTCTTCCCTATTGTCGCTTATGCTAAAGCAATTTACCCAAAAGAACCGATTAAAGGCCCACTCCAGTCTCTAGAGAGGTTTTCAGGGCAGTTAGGATCGTTTAAAACGAGTATCTAAAACTGCGGTTTTTCGCTTACGAAAAACTGTGAAATTGCAAGAGGTCTTGAGGCTGGTGTTTAAAATTAACAAATTTCATGGATGTTTTGGCAGACTTTTGAATAACTCATACTGACCCAACTGTGAAAAACTCGGCGCTTCGGTGGGATTCGAACCCACACAGTAAGGGGAAGGGATTAGTACAGTCACCTGAAGAAGAGGAGGCGTTCACCGGGAGGGGTGTATTTGAGGTCTGACGTTTCGGGTAGTCGTTTCTTCTACCCATCTGCAGAGACTGAGCAGTCGTGCACACAGCTTTCCTCTTATTGCGCACTTTTTTCAATGCCCCAAATGCACCTCTCCCGGTGAACGCCTCCTCTTCTTTTGATATGCCACGCGGGAATCGCATTTTCACTACTATTGACAGTCACCTGTGCTACGAGGCCCCGCCGGACGACGCGAGTTTAATCACATTTGGGTCAAGTTACCCACCCAACCAACTGCAAGGTCTGGAATCCACCAAATCTGGTACAGTAAGTTGACTGCCCAAGCAGGATTTCTTAAGTAATTCACCTAGAATCCACCAGGTTTGGTGGACTCCACACGATGCAGTAGGTTGGGCGGGTAAGGTGACCCAACTGTGATTAACTCGCGTCGTTCGGCCGGGCCTCGTAGCTCAAGTAGTTAGAGTGTTGGCTGTACAAAGCCTTCCCCTCACTGCGTGGGTTCGAATCCCACCGACGCGCCGAGTTTTACACAGTTGGGTCAATAATATCTATCGGAGACTTTGTGAGGAAGCCTTGAAACGGATGCTGAAACTTTTCAATTTCCTCAGAATTCCATAGCTCACTTGCCGTAAATCAGTCTATTTTGGAAGTTGAAGGTTAGGACTAAAATTGTTCATGAATATTTAGGCCGAAATCTATCACCCGCAACGGAATGGCCACGTAATATTCATAAATTGCCAAAGGGGAGCCCGTAGAATGCGTGAAACACCATACTAGAAACCACAGAAATGTAGCGGGCAGCCATCATGACTGGTCTGGCGTCACTGTTCAAGACCTCGCTGCCTCACGGTCATTCACCCCTTTGCAGTCAGCCGTTCCACGCAGTAAGGAGAAGACTGTAGTACAGCCAACGCTCTAAATACTTGTGATTAAACTAGAGTCGTTTGGCTGAGCCTGGCAGTTCAAGTGGTTAGAACGTTGGCTGTACCATAGCCTTCCTCTTACTACGTGGGTTCGAATCCCACTGAGGCGCCGAGTTTTTCACAGCTGGGTCAATATGAATTAACAAATTTATTGATCCAGTTTACACGCAGCGCGACAAAGTTAGTGGTCAGTAGTTAAGCAAATGTCACAGAACATGCCATGTCTCCAAACAGAACACGTGAAGAGCAGGAGGTAAACTGCCCAGATTAAGATCTTACGAAAACGTCAGCCAGCATAGAGGAGGTCACCCCGTTGCCCGCGCTTGACTGTGGGAGCTTCTTCGTCATACTCCGTTTTGCATACTCTAGACATAAAAGACGCAATGTTTTGCGAGGAGACGTCAATTAGATGAGGGCTGATTTATCCCATCGCTGCTGGAGCTCTATGATTACGGGTGACGCCAACAAAGACTGGGAGTTGTTCAAGAATGTCCTTTTGCAGCTCCTCAACAACCACTACTAACTGATGAGTGAAAGACAGAAGAATTGGCCTGGGTGGCTAAACAGCAACTTAAAGAAAAAAATAACTGGAGGCATAAAGTGTGGAAAAGGTCTGCTTCAGCAGACAAGCCGAATATTTCCATAATTACAGGGCATAGAGGAGCAATCTGAAATGCATGGTCGCTAAAAGGAGTCGAGAGTTCGAGAAGAATTCGTCGCTAAAAGCAAGATGGAATCCCAAGTTCCTCTACTGTTACCTCAGAAGAGTTACATGCATGAAATCCCCTTAATAAAGACTACCGATGAAGTCGGAATTTCTGAAAGCATGGATAAGGCTGCATATGCTTCACTGCTTGACCTTCCTTCCTCCGCAGCAGACCTGGGTCCAGGTGAGCGGAGAGGAGAGAGTGCGTAGATACAGCGCAAGTCCACTATCACTATAAAATGAATCACGCGCAAGTCACCCTCCCTGCTCTCAACTTGCTGTGGAGCACACGGTGGACATCGTTTGAAAAAACAGTCAAACTGTCGTGTGTGTGTGTGGACTCGGTCCATATCTGTCCTCATTGCGACCGCACCTTCACCGCACACATCGGCCTGGTCGGTCACCTGCGAATCCATCGCACAGAGACTGGCAAACCAGTGCCTGCGGCACCAACTGACACTCGTCGCACCGGCCTCCACTGCCCACGCTGCCCCGGCACACTCACTCACTCCATGGGTCTATTCGGTCACATTGGGTATCCACGGGAGCGTAACTGACTGCAGTCGCGACAAACCTAGCACCTCTTGCATTTCCGCCATGCTTAGCCCAAATCATACGCCGCCGCCCAGCGTGTCGACTATCAGCATCTCCATCAGTGCCACCATCTCCAAAACTGCCGACGTTTCCTGTCCACACTGTCCCCGTACACTCACCTCACACATCGGTCTGGTCGGTCACTTGCGAATTCGTCGCACAGAGACTGGCGAACCAGTGCCTGGAGCACCAACATGCACTCGCCGCGTCCGCCTCATCTGCCTTTACTGTATCCGCACATTCACTCATCGCATGGGCCTAGTAGTCCACCTGCGCATCCACGAAAACCTGCGGTAGACGACCGCCGGGTAGTCCGCACCATCATCTCATCTCCCACCAACAGCTGCATCACACAACATCATCATCCATCACAAGCATCCAACTGCCACCCCCCACATAAGTGGGAGGTGGGCATATCGGCTCCGTCTCCATGCGGTCCATACTGCATATGTGATTCGAGTCTGAGGCTATCACGGCGCGTCATGCGTTGTGGCTTGGACGGCTGCTGACTGACGCCCCAACTCAGTCCACACAGTCTGCCCAGTTATACAAGTGTTTGAGCGGGGTGGCAGACTGGTGGACTTAGAGTCAGGCTGAAACAGCTCCTTCTTAACGTGACCTACGGCATTCTCGCGCATGTGAGATGTGTGTCGTCAACCCCCCGTTGAGTGAAATCCTGGTGTATGTGTATCTGGGGGGCCAGGTCGTGAATGTGACCCACGCAAACAAGGTCACCAGACTATGTCAGCCACCGAGCCCATTCCCCGCATCTGGCAATTGACCGGCTCGGACAGTGACGGAGGCCTGAGGTGAGGTCGACGACTCAGCGCATATTCCTCACTATAAACAACCTGACGCGCTTGAAGCTATCACGTTGCGCTAAAAGTCGTGGCTTGGAAGGTTGCCATCTGACGGAATAACTTGGACGTCACAGTCGACCCATCGTTGTATGATTGTGTGGAGCGGCCGGATGGTGTTCTAAGAGTCAGGCTGCAGTGGCTCCTTCTTAATGTGGCCTTTATGACAATCCCGTTGCGTGGGGTCCGAGCCAGATGTGGCGGCACGCCTAGGTGCGGCTTCGGCTGTGCTAGCCAACCTTTTGTTGTTGGTCAACAACTCTTCCGGTGGGGCCTCGTAGCTCAGATGGTTAGAGCGTTAGCTGTACTAAGGTCTTTCCTTGCTGTCGTGGATTCGTATCCCACCGAGGCATCCAGTTTTTCACAGTTGGGTGAAAGTGAATTATTTGAGATCTGCCAAAACACCTATGAAAAACTCGGTCATTTACTGTGTGGGCTAGAGGATGCGGAGTGGAGCGCCAAGGTGCGGGCTCTATCGTTCCATCCACCTGCGCCCTCCTCCGTCTCCGGAGGAGGGAAGAGTGCCACAGGTGCTGTGCAAGCCTACTACCGCTATAAGCTAAATCACGCCCATGTCATTGTCCCTGCTCTCACCTTGCTGTGGGGTACACTGTAGGCATCGTCGGCAACGATGTTCAAACTGTTGTCGTGATCGGTCCAGCCAGTGTTCGTGGAACACGCCATCACGCCACCCTCGTACTTCCAACCCCTGTTGGACTGTTTTTGTTGTTGTAGGTTAAGTGTATATCGTGAACCGGAGGGTATGCTGGCACGCCTAGTTGTGGGTCCGGCCTTGCCAGTCACCTGACCCGCCACCGTCTATCTTGCCCGTTGCGGTGCTGTTGTTGTCGATTAAAATTCTGTTCAAGTGTTTGTTATGGACCGCAAGATATGGTGGTACGCCCAGGTGTGGGTCCGGCCGTGCCAGCCGCCTGCGCCCTCTCCTGCCTCCGGTCTTCTTGACTATGCTTGACACCGGATGCAGGTGGGAGAGTAGAAGAGAGTGAAGTAGATACTGCGGGAAGTCTTGAAGAAGAAGAAGAAGAAGAAGAAGAAGAAGAAGAAGAAGAAGAAGACACGATCGCCGGGACAAGAGCTTTATTAGCCTGACGTTTCGGATTCCTGCTCGAATCCGTCATCAGAGGCATAAGCAGATAAGGGTGGCTCATGCACATGCGGCTGCAGTATTTATAGGATGCAGTAGCCATGCTACCGCATACCTATGAATATTCACGGCTCCCTCCCTTTCATCAGGGATCGTTGCACATGGCGTGATGGCCGATATTCGCGTCGTTAATTGCTGCAATTTCATCACGTGCGTTGGATGTTGATGTGATGATTGCTCGACCATCTGAAGCGCTGACCCGGGTGTTGGGAAGAGTGTTTGCCAGTGCGCTCCCCGCGTGGCCAATTACTCCGCCTAGACGAAGTCTCAGCACGCTGTATTGAATGGGAAGATCGTTGCACTTGTTAATAGACTGGGGGCCAGTAAACCATGACTCAAGCAGCTCCCGGCTCACGCGGTTGTCACCTCTTGCGAGAATTTCGGTCTCATCAAATTTGAATGTGTGGCCTAAACCCGTCGAATGAGTCGCAACTTGAGAGCTGGCGTCATTTCTGCGCACCGCTGCCGCGTGTTCGGTCATTCGCGTTCGGAGCTGTCTTCCGGTTTCTCCGACGTAGTTGCTTTGTCCGCAACTGCACCAGATCCGATAAACGACTCCAGACGTTTCTAGCCGTGGCAGTGGGTCTTTCGGTTTCATGACCAGACGCCTGATGGTTGCCTCCGGTCTGTGTGCCACTCCAACCCCAAGTGGTGCGAGAAGGCGGCCGACAGCTTCCGAAACGTTCTTGGCATACGGAAGTGCCCGCCAAGATTTGGTGTCCGTGCGGTTAGGCCTTTCGCCCCTTTTGCGTATGCACCGGTTGACGAAGTTGCGCGGGTAGCCATTGGCTTTGAAGACTCGTCGGAGGTATTGTAGTTCCGCAACTTTGTCTTCCGGCTCACTGCATTGCGTTTCGACACGCCGATAGAGCGTCCTTACACAACTGCGTTTGTGACTGATTGGGTGGCTGCTGTTGAAGTTCAGTACTTGCATCGTGTTTGTCGCTTTCCTGAGCACTTTGGTCTTTAGTTCACCACAATCTTTGCGGCAAACGAGGATGATCCCTGATGAAGGGGAGGGAGCCGTGAATATTCATAGGTATGCGGAAGCATGGCTGCTGCATCCTTTAAATACTGCAGCCGCATGTGCATGAGCCACCCTTATCTGCTTATGTCTCTGATGATGGATTCGAGTAGGAATCCGAAACGTCAGGCTAATAAGGCTCTTGTCCCGGCGATCGTGTCTTCTTCTTCTTCTTCTTCTTCTTCTTCAAGACTGCTTCCTGGGACTCGTCTCTTCGCTTCTATTGGTACTGCGGGAAGTCTACCATCACTGTAAAGTAATTCATGCGCAAGTCACCGTTCCTACTCCGCCTTGCTGTGGGGCACACGGTGGACCTCGTCGGCAACGACGGTCGGACTATCGTGTTTCCCCAGAGTTAAATATTGAGACCCATTTCTCCCCTAATATACGCGGACGGTGTGGTGAGAGACCTGGACTGCGAAGCAGCAATGCTTACTGACGACAGGAAAATTTGAAGTATAATCCGGAGCCCTGGCGACGAAGATGGGCTGCAGACCAAACCAGATCAGTTGGGAATGTGACCAAATTGTTGGCTTATGCGGTTCAACATCGGCAAACACATCATACCTGGCCTAGACAACCCAATCAGATCCGCCGGCGCAGCTCCACAAGAGGCGAATGCGCAAATGAACCCCCTTAAAACCATCCGCGCATTACTTGATAGTGATAAAAGCGCAATTTCCGTATTGCTCACTATGAAGAGGGCCCTTGTGAATTTTGATAAAGATCACACTCACAAAATTGTCGGAACACTTATGAGGCCACACCTGAAGGATGCCATAAAAGCCTAGGCAGTGCAAGGACCAAATAGTCTCAAGGAAGAGCCACCAAAATGGTCAAGGATCAAATCCGCCTGCTTTATAAAACCATCCTAGCGGATCTAAATCTCCTTTCTTTGAGTTATAGCAAATACGCGGGGATCTCTTACAAGGATTCCATATCGTGTAGGTAGTGAATAACGGCCTGACATTTGGGGACTTTTCGAATTTGCTACCACGACCAGTTTCCGATGTTACCCCATTAAATCTGAGCGTTCATCAGGCAAGGCTAGATGTACGCAAGTTCTGCTGTGACAGCTATTGTGATGTCACAGTCGATGGAAGGATTTAAAATAAACCTTAACCAATTCATGTTTCGAAAAGAGCAAGAGCGATGACAGACTGAGCTGAATTCTTAAGACACACGCACTAATTTTCCTATTTTCATGGTCCTCTCTGAACTATTCCAAACCCGCACGGTTCCTCTGCAGACTACACCAATTTTACGTTGCAAATAGGGTACTCGAAGACACTCTTTTTTCCCTCAATAAATTGAACTGAATGTTCACTAAGGTCTGTTATTACTGCACTGCGCTCGCAATAAAACATCAAATTGGCCACCGGCAGGAACCGCGCCAGTGGTCTCACGGTAGCTGGTACTCCCGCACAGGAAAGTGTAGAAGCCTTCGACTAGTCGCTGGGTGTCATCGAATCTTGGGCCTCCATCCTTTGCAAAGGCCAGGGCACACGCATGTGCTGACGTTCTGCCTTCAGTCTTTGGCGGCACAGCCTAATGACCCTGCGACACGTGCTGAAGCTTGGGCCAGACCAAGATTGGGACGCTTAGACGCACTGGAAATGTCACCAGTAGGCAAGGATAGGAAATGCACTGTGTCGCCGAGACGCATGGCATGAAAAGACACCGATCTGTAGCCGCTATTGCAAAAGAAATTACCCTGTCCGCGCCCAACGAGTGTATCCTGATGATACCGGCGATAACTGCAGGTGAACTGAGGGTAAACAATGTGCCGGACAGGTGACAGGAGGTAGACCACGGGGACTAGAGTCTCGGCGTTCAGTCTTCCTTTGCGGTACTTGGGAGATGGCAACGAAGCCGCTGATAGGGGGCGTCCTGTCTGTCCAGAAACCAGAGCAGGTGGTCCAAATTTCAGAACAGGAAGGAAAAGGTGGTTTGAAAGATTTAAGGATAATAAGCAACGCCTTGCTAAGGCCCGTAGTACTGTCCGCAAAAGAGGTTAACTTGTAACTTCCTCTTGGTACTGTATACTTTTCACGATTTCAGCAGGTGATTGGCTAAACAAGGTATACCACGAGCTGGGTTCGTGTCTACATTGTAGTAATTGGCGGGGTTGCATTTAAACTTTAACAGAACCATTCAACCTCTCATGTGCATAGGGGACTTGTGAGGTCCAACGTCTTTCCTGGAGTTCCATTCTTTGAAGGAAGAGGATGATAAATTGGCAGACCACTTTGGAAGGATGGAGTATGGGGAACTCCTAGAAATATTTCACAAACTTTCCCTGTTGAGGCGATTTCACAAAATTCGCGCGACTCAGAAAGTGACCAAACAAACATTAGCTTTGGCCTTCTAAGGCTCGTCCCTAGGCTTTTAGTGTTGAGCACCAATGGGAGTGAAATGGTAGGAGCACTACTACGACTACTAATACTAATACTACTATTGCTACCGCCACTGCTACCGCCGTCGCTATCCTTACTCATATTAGTCATCCGCCAAAAGTTCTTGGGAGAAACCTGTCAAACACAACTAAGTCAGCGTGCTACCGGGACTAAATTACACCTCAAAATTGGTCCACTGTTTGGTTTGGATATTAGCAACCGTCATCATGCCTATCGTTAATCTTAGTGGCAAAAGTACGTGCATAATGTCAGAGTTACTAGCATAAATAAATTGTAGACTCTGCGCGAGCCTTATGCTGGTTTCTAGAGCCTAGAGGACCTAGACGTCACCATATCATGAAGTATTCAGCAAAATTTCGAGGTCGATCTGAAACTCACCGTGATCCAAAACGAACGAAAAGTGTAAATTAATTTAACGGAAGAAAAGTTCTCTCTATAAAAACAAAATGGTATGTTTACGATCACGCCTGTCAGTTCTACTTAGATTTATTAGGCACCGGCATCTCCTTTGTTGATGCATGACGCAACTGTGAAGGCTCAGGGCTCACCAGCACGTCCCAAAATGCTCTCTACGAGGTTTTTAAAAATATGAACTCAAAATTTAAATGTTAAGCTAGCAATTTGGCAGTGTACTAGGGGAAGGACTTGAAGATCTGTGCCGGGAACACCAATCTTTTGGATCAGCCCCTGAGAGGAAGACGATAAACTGCCGCAAAATGACCACGTATTGCCCATTTTACAAGTCAGTAGTATAATTACATAAGACAGCAGTTCGCCGCAGTTTCAACATGAGAACTAGGACGAGGCAGTTGCGAGGGAGTTGAATCCTCCAGTGGTTCCAGCGTCTCTTCTGAATGTGTACCTGACTATCTGAGTTCAGTAGGGGTACTTACAGTAGGTGGGCTAATTCATGAAATGTCAGTCGAACTTTCGAAATGCGTTTTCGTTTCGAAAAGATTAATTAGGTAGGGTTGTAAAACTAATAATCATAAAGCATGATTCTATACCGATTCAGATACCTCACGATGTCGGGTTTTGAACGAACTTCTTTCCGGCTACATGCAAAAACCATTCTCCGTAAAAATGACTACTTATTTAGCATGCATTTTTTCATTTATTTTCGGTGCCCTTAAAGATTAAGTTATATTTCATAGAACCATGCATAAAATTATTTATTCTATCGCTCATTCGGTAGAAGGTTAAGTCTTATTCCAGTTGCATATTCAAAGGAAGGCTATGATTCGGTTCTCAAGAACTTCTCCAATTCCTGAATAATGTTGAACCCCGACCGGCCGTTAAACTTGCATTCCAGGTTTCCAAACTACAAGCCGTTTATTTTCCGCGTGCGAAAAACCAATACATTTCTCTACATTATTAAGAGGAAACTATGTAGCAGTAGCTTTGAACAATATTGCTAACGTCACAAGCCACACCAGTAAATGTGGAGACATGACGTGTTATGAACGGCCATTTCACGGCATTGAAAGATCTAACAGTTAAAAACTTTTTTAAAACCGAATTATGTCCCCCCTTCGAGTAAAAAATTAGAAGAAGACGTAATTATCTACCGAATGAGTAAAAGAATGAATATTTTAGGCATGTTTTCCATAAAATATAATTGGACATTTAGGGGCATCGAAAATCAATGAGAAAAATGCATGCTACATAAGTAGTCATTTTTACAGAGTGTAGTTTTTGCGTGTAGCCTGAAAGAAGATCGTTCGAAAGCCTACATCCTAAGGTAACTGAATAATTATAGAATTGTGTTGCGCAATGGTTAGTTTTACAATTCTACTTAATTAATCTTTTGAAAACGAGAACGCATTTCGGAATTTCGGTTGACATTTCACGAGTTAGCCCACCTATTGTATTCCTGTGTCCTAGCTTTGACCCTAACACCAACCCCCAAAATCGGCCTCCAGGGAGGTATCTATCCTACTGTCCGTACTTTGACCCTAACCCTCCCAGCCCTCGTAACCCCTTATCCTCGTAATCTCAATCCCAACACGCCTAATCCTAAAACTAACTTTAACCCATTAAAATTTAGAGCAAAACACCAGCAGTAGAGGAGGCCCCTACTTCCGTACCCTGCCCTTAGCCCTAATCCTAGTTTCTCTGCCATCCTCGAGGTCCTTAGGAGATCGGATATATTTTATGGAAGATCTGCCTAAAAGTAAGCCTTCGCGTGCACATGTTTTCTTGGCAAATTACATCCTCTCCGGCTTGTACATTCAAAAAGGGTGTCTGTCTGTTTAGAAAAACTTCCTTATATTGACACTTTATTTGATCCTGAAATGCCCGTTGTAAACAGCCTCGCAGCTGGCTGTTTATAAATGCCCTTTATGAGGTTTACAACGCAGTCCACATCCATTGCATATTTTTTGAGTTCTTTAAAAATAGTTTACTGATGGCATAGGGGAGTGTATGGTTTTTCTTAGATGAAAAGTATGCAGATTGTAGTTTCAAGACCACAAACGTAAGCGTAATGACAGGTCGGGTTGAAAATTACTCCGAAATTTGTCTTTCAAGAAGACTTACTTGGCTATAAAATTAACGCAAGAAAACAAGTTTCCACACGTGTTTTCTGTTTGAATTTATAAGGGAATAAAATCAACGAAGAAAACACTTCCCTTACGCAGCCAATTTACAACCTGTGCGGTTTTTTCGGGCAGCTAGAAGTGAGCTCATTGAAAAGCCGGCATCCTGTCGTGACTGAAATAACTTGGGATTATGTAGTTTGATACGCGAGAACGGTTCACTGTTTAGGATAGGTAGCGAGTTCGAGCCTCGGGGACCGCGTGACCTGGGGTTGGGTATGGCTGGCGGACGACATCTAACAAGCCAGGAATGTGCATTCCAGTCCCCCTGGTCTTTGCTGATAATGCCATTCTAGAAATATATATACATCTTGTTCATCATTACAAAAATAAGAAACAGAAGATGCGATTTCATGTTACATGCAGTACGTGACCTGTCTCATGAAATCTGATAACGGAAATTGATTAGAGAATTGTTGGACGCCTTTAATGTAGCGCATTCAATGAAATGTCCTTTTCTTGTTCATAAATTGCGTTTACGTAATTATATCAAGTAAAATATCAGTAAATTTTAGCGAAACTAGACGTTTGAATATATTTTCGCAATTTCCCATGCTAATACATGTCCCAGACTCCGGTTACGCAACTGAGCGACTTTTTCATTGAAAGGATAGTAATTTACCTACGAGAGTTTTAATAAACAGATTTAGCCGGACTATAAATTTTATTTTGTGTCCGATGTTGACCATGATTATCAATCTCCTAACAAAAAAGTTATTTTAAGAAAACCAGGGATTTTATCAATTCCTAAATGTCGAATTAGCAGATCTGTGCTTTTGGTGCCCTAAATGCAGATAGAGATTCCTTCGTTTAAGTGGGCTAAAATTTTTTGGCCGTTTGGAAAATTCTACCTGATGTCACATAGATGACCACCACGGAATGGTCATTTCCAGCTTTAAACATATGACACAGTACTTTTCTAATATTTTAGCTTCTGTGCATATCTCATTCAGAAATAGAACGAGCAAAACATTTTTAGTCTCATCAAAATATCAGTATTTGTATGGGCGCTCTGCGGTGCATTCATAATCGAAGAACTGAGTCTAAAAGCGAGCAACAACAGTGAAAGTCGTCCCAATGTATAGAGGAAGGCATGTTCTTGCGTTTACGGTAGAAAAATATTAGTATTGCTAAGGAACGTGAAAGAAACCGTCACAAGTGTCTGATTTTTACTTGGCCTCACCGTGCAAAAATGCAAAGTGCACAGAGATCCGTCGACGGAGTGCAGTAATAAAGCACATTCTAAAGAGGTAACTTATTAAGGAAAGTTTTCTTATTGATCGAAGGCATATTCGTTAGTGACTTTCTTTGTGGACAGTCATTTTTCTCGAAAATGAAGTTTGATGTTTGGATGAGTCTTCAAATGTGACCCAAACGACCATCTTCGTGAAATGGAGCGCCTGAACACTTACTGATTCGGTAAATGCCTTCGAGAGTAATCTTATCTTAAAGTTCTCAACAGACAGGTAATTCAGAATCTGTCTTTATGGACGATCGGGTGAAAACACTAAAAATCATGAAGTATTCAGCAATATTTCGAGGCCGATCTGAAACTCAACGTAACCCAAAACGAAAGAAGAGTATGAATTAATTTAACGGGAGAAAAATTCTCTCTATAAACACAAAATGGTACGTTTACGATCAGGCCTGTCAGTTCTATTTAAATTTATTAGGCACCGTTTGGCCTCATGACATGTCATCTTGTGAAATCTTTTGATCCTACGACGTCCCAATCGGTGAAATCAGGCAAAATCCAGCTTCCCTTGTTGAACCCCATCTCATTTAACTCCAAATCGTTAATGAAATTATGAAACACTGGAAAACTGCTTTGAAATCTACACACAGAATGTAGGCAGTTGACAACCCGTCATATATGAAGTCACACTACTTATTAAACGATATTTAGATGTAATCTTCACTGAAACACTGTCATTAGACGTTATTTTATGTCTAATTTCATATTTACTACGTGTTTGCTACTAGAATACATTCTATACATCTAAAAACGAACTTTACTTAATTAGAGCCATTTCTGACGTTTTCGGGATATTGCGCTTTTCAAAATAAATCGACATTTCTAAACAACGCAACACCGCCTATAATATTTCTTTTATGTTTTTAATTCTTTTAAACTTGTACTTAATTATCATAGACATTTGACTCATGAATTGTGTCCGTTTGTGAGTGAGTGGCAATCATTCGTAAATTTCGACACATTTCATGAGTTAGGTCACGCACTGTATATATAGGTTGTCGCCAAAGACTCGGGAGACTGTGGTAACGATTCTTGACCTATTAGTCATCATCAGCCAGTTCAACACAAGTCCAGGTCCACTGCACCGGAATCAAGAACTTGTGTGTTTTGCTTGTAGAGCGTTTTTATGATCGTCGCCCGGCTAGATCGTAGTTGGTAGCCAGGAATGGGGAAGCGGACGGCGAACTTAACCCTAGTCCTAACCTTAACCCTTACTCTAACCCTAACCTCAACCTTAAACGTTAACCGTTAACCCTAACCCTAACCGAACTCGTAAACGGAATCTTAGCCTTTAGACATAGCCTTAACTTAAGAACCTAACCGTAATACTTAAACCTTATCGTACGCTCAAACCCTAACCGTGACCCGAAAACCTAAGCCTAAAGGCATAACCCTAACCCGAAAATCGGAAACCATTAACCGATATCTTAATCCTAACCTTAAACGTAAAACGGAAGTCAAATGGGTCAGATTAGATTATGGAGCCCCACAAAATAGCCCCAGTAAACAAACCCCCCAGCCACCTATAATACGGGGCCTGGCTACCAACTGCGATCTAGCCTGTCGCCCTACCAACTGAACCATGGACTCGTGGCCCAGTCTGTTGCGACCGAGGATGTTAACTATGTTGGAAGGACGGCCACCAAAAGGCTACGGAACATTTTTCTCCCGTTATGCCGTTGAACTCAATGTAGAGTCCTCACTGGCAGTCACATAGCGATCATGGGTATGCGTAGAGAAAGGGGAACTGCAAAAACTAGAAATAACCATTTAACTCTCCGTCCATGCTCAAATATTCTCTTTGCCGAGAAAAGGGAGTCCCACTAGTTCCCTCTACCGTCCTCCATAGCATCCCATACAGGCTTTAATAACAGCTAAGTAGATTCCTCCCATTCAGGTGGGCGAGAAAGTCGGAAAAGATTGCCGAGGAATTCTGACAAGACTAAAAGTTGTTCGACCTTCCTCAACTTCATCTTTGCGAGTGTTTTTACTTCCGGATCGAGATGTCGATCCCCCCCTCTCACTGGATTATGTACAGGGCTAGTTGAAGTGTACCCTCATGTCGTTTCTTATCAGGCCTTTGTAGATTAGGCGTCGCTTTTCCTGTTCGAGTAAGGTGCGCTTTTATCCACCTGGCTTGTCGATTTTTTACACCGCAATCCTAACTAATTTGTCTTCTACAAGTCGGCCAGCTGCACACGCCGTAAGTGGCAGGATGAATTGGCGGTGTGTTGACAAGTTCCGCTTTCATCTCCGTCCCACGTATCTTGGACCAGCTTTTTTCTCCTAGTTCCGCCTTTCCTCTTTACGCATGCAACGCACGTACTTCCAAAAAGGAGGCCCTTTGTCGCCGACGGAAGTCGCAAAAAAGACAGCATCTCGGGAAGGCTGTGGGAGAAGGGCAAAATACGCTGCTAGCGGGGGCGGAAGAGAAGGACAGGAAGATGGAGAAACAAAAAACTGTCATTTTTTTAAAAGACTGTCCTTCGGGTTGGTGCATGTCTGTGTGTGTGTGCGGGCTACCGATAGTTTGACTTGGAACGAAAGTTATGGTTGAGGACGACGATTTTGTGGTGCAAAAGGCAACTTCTCCTCTGCGCCCCTTAATTAGCGAATCATGTTTGATTCATTCTCTTAGCGGCTGATCAACCAATAAGGGGAAAAACATCCTTGGAGGTGGTGCTGGAAGAGGAGAAGAAGAAGAAGAATAAGGATAACCTGGCATGTCCACTTGGATATGCTAGTTCAGACGTCATCTGCGACGATGTCCACCGTGAATTCGTTTATAGTGATAGTGAACTTGCGCTGCATCCACCTGGACCTGGTGTCAAAAAAGAATCAAGAATACCGGAGGCGGAGGGTAACGCAGATGATTGGCGCGGCGAAAACCTGCACCCAGGCGTGCCACTGGCCAGGATATCGTACAGAAAGAAGAAAGGGGTGGTTCGGACTCCGATTGGTGGCCTCTCGCCACACCGTCTGCCGAGCCTCCATCTAACCCTTCGTGTTGGTCCAGCGCATCTACCGCGTGGTCCGCCTTAGGGCCAAACTTGAATATAGAGCAAGTGCAAAAAGTGATTATACTTAGACACAAATCGTGCAATATAGCAACAATGGCTTGTCGACAACCTGCTAGATTGTTGATTGCCCGTCGCTACGCAACCATTCTACAGGTTTTCAGGCCGAATTCCCAACGCAACGGTCCGGCAATTAGGGTGAACGCCCAGCTCATGCCAATTAACAGGAGGATAAATACAAATTATGCGGCCTAGCAATAGCCTCCACCCTTTCTGCCCTGGGAAGATAACCCTGCCAGATAATATTTGCTTTCTGCACTGATTGCCAGTGCCGAATAAGAGGCATCAGCGATTGTCTCGGTAAGAAAAACAAAACTGTACTTTCCCAGGTACTTGTGTAGCAGATTAGGTCGTTCTGAAGTTTCCTTTTGCGGGGCAAAACCAGCTCAACCTGGATAAAATCATAAATCAGAGGCTCTTGCTCGATCAAGCGTCCGAAATGTCGCGAGACTTGCAATCCAGACCCCATGCAGCAGCATACAGTGCGTGACCTATCTCATGAAAGGTTGCCTGAAATTCTGAAATGCGTTTTCGATTAGAAGGATTACTTGGTCGCGGTTGTGATACTGATTATCTTAAGGCATACTCTTATAACATTTTGGACTCGGCAGGATGTCGGCTTCAAAATGCACTTCTTTTCAATCTCCCGTAGAAAGCGTGCTCGGTAAAAAAATGACTACTTAACTAGCATGAATTTTTCCCATTGATTTTCGATGGTCTTGGAAATTCAAATATATTTTATAGAAACCACAAACAAAAATATGCTTTCTTTTAGTCAATCAATAGAGAATCACGTCTTGTTTATATTTTTTACTTAAGGAAGGAGTATAATTAGGTTTTAAAAGAGTTTCTAATTATGAGACTTTTTAAGACCGCGATATGTCCTTTCACATAGCATCGTACCTGGCCGTTTACCACTGCTCCTCATGAAATGTACAACATGGCCCGCATCCATTGCAGATTTTTATGGACCCTGTATGATATCTTTTTAATGACATAGAAAAATATGTGATTTTCTTTACGCGGAACGCATGCGCCTTGTAGAGTGTAATCACTAAGCGCTAATGCAACGAATGATCAGGCACCAAATGTTTCGTCAATTAGAAAACTTTTTTAAAACCTAATTATACTCCTTTCTTAAGTACAAGATATGTTCTTCAGCCCTTCCATGAAACAGGCATTGTCGCAAGACTTGCAATCCAGACCCCATGGAGGAGCATATATAGCACGTTATAAGAAGTGCTTTCGCTCCCAGCATGCACAGTACTCTCGGAAGCAACCGACATGAAAATGGCCCGTGTATCGCTGGTAGAGCGTTGCATTTAGCAACATTCAATGACTAAACCGCGGAGGTCCAAATCACAGACACTATAAATCTGGGGTTGGTTGGGGCAGGCGAGGAGTTTCAAATACCGTGCAATGGCCGTTCATAAAACGTCATGCATCTGCATTTACGCATGTGGCTTGTAAAATTAACAATATTGCTCAAATCCAGTGCTTAATTTTATGAACCCCATATGGTCTCCGCCTAATACCGTAGACGAATGCATGGTTTACCGTATACGGAAAATATACGGTTTGTATCTCTGAAACCCTGAATGCAAGTGTAACAGCAGGCCGGGTTCAGAATTATTCGGGAATTTATAAAGTTTTTGAAAACCGAATTATATTCACCTTTCGAGTATGAAATCGGAAGACGTGATTTTCTACCTAATAAGTAAAAGAATGAATATTTTTATGCATGTTTTCCATGAAATATAATTGAATTTTCAAGGGCATCGAAAATCAGTCAGAAAATTTCATGATACTTAAGTAGTCATTGTTTGCAGAGTATAGTTCTTGCATTTTGTCGGACATAAGTTCAGTCGAAAGCCGACACCCTGAGGTAACTGGACCATTATAGAATTATGTCGCATGATGATCAGTATTACAACCCTACTTAATCAATCTTTTCGAAACGAGAACGCATTTCGAAATTTCAGTTGACATTTCATGAGTTAGCCCACCTGCTGTATACACAGTATGTGATCTAACTCATGCAACGTAAGGACGAAAATCAAGACGATCAATTTTAAACATTTAGAATGTTGAACATTTGATTAACTCGCCTGGTCCGTTCCGGAAAATGCCCTTTTTGCATGCAGAATATGTTTCTGTGCAATGTTATCAGTCAAAATGTTTGCAAATTTGAGCGAAAACCTACTTCCCCTGGTATTTGGGCAATTCCCTATGCCAATAACCGTCCTACGCTACGTTTGTGCATCCATGTATGTCCTTCGATTAATAGAAAGTAATCTAAACTCGAGAGTTTTACTAAACGGAACTTGCCGCACTCGAAATCGATCTTTTTATTCTACTCAATCGGATGAGATAGAGTGTGAACAAGAAGGTTATTTGCGGAAAACCAGGTGTTTTATGAATTTTAAAAATTTATACTTGCAAATCTGTTATTTTGTGTCTTAAAAAGCATTAGTAACGCCTTCAGGTCAACCTTCGTTTAAACGTCGCTACACTTTCCTGCCCTTTGGGGATATTCAATAATTTACTGTGAAAATATCCTTCACCGGGTTGCTAGCTATTTTGACTTTCAAGCATATGGCCGGATATTTTTAAAACCGAATTTTGCTAATGCGTAATATGGAAACGGAACGAGTGGAATGCAGCAGTTTTAGCACTATCTTAGAATTTACATGGCCACTGTGGTGTACATTTTTAATCATAGAACGAACCTTAAAGTAAGAAAATATTGCAAAAAATGGTTCCAATACAGGGGAAAAATGAGTTCGTTCGTTCGCAGGCGGAAAATCATCAGTATTTTCGGGTAAATGTAAAAACCTACCAAAAGTTTCAATTTCAATCCTGAATCGGCCTTGGAAAATGGTTAAGTATGCAGTCATATGTCAGTGAAATAGCTTATCAAGATGCTTTTTTCAAGAGTAACTTCTTAGCAAAAGGGTTTCAATTGATCTAGAGCATATTCATAGGTGACGTTTTAGTGGATGATTATTGTACTCTGCGGTGAGGTTTCATGTTTGGGTGATTCTACAAGTATCACTCGCATTAGAAAGAATGTGCGTGAACTATTTTCTAATTTCAATACTTTCAGTAAATATGCTGTTTTAAGGACTTTGATAAAAACAGTAGCTGAACATCGCGAAATATTCACCGACATCTCAGGGATTATTCAAAACGCAACGTACCTTAGCAACAGTATAAACTTAAAATAATTTTTTGAGGCAAAATTTTTCTAGTTAATCCCTAAATGGCCTGTTTAGAATCACATCCGCCAATTCTACTCAATTTTATTTGTCATCGGCTGACCAGTCAGCATATCCTCTTGCGGAAGCTTTTATTCTTTTCGCGTGCCTATCGATTAAATCAAGCGAAATCCAGTTTGTCTTAACGAATCCCATCTAAAACAGTGTAAAAACGGGAAAAGATACAGCAAGTTCTCATGTAACCGTTCTTTAATCTACACCCAAAATACGGACTGTGGCCATCCGCCATGCTTGATATTTACGCCTATTCTTGAACGGCATTTGGATGTAAACCTCATAAAAGAAGTATTTCCAGACGTTATTCTGACTTTTGCGGTTTCATTTAAATGGTTTTTTGCATGGACAGGTCTTGTGTACTTCTAAAACTTAAGCGTACTCATTTACAATGATTTCCAAAGTCTTCGGACTTTTCACCTTTCTAAAAAACTTTTTATCTAACAATTAGATATTATTTTTAACACGTTCTTTTGTTTTAAATTCACTCGAAGCCTTTCGTAATGAACCCGCAATTGTTTGTCGGCTTGCGATTAGTTAGCAATGTTTCGTGAATTTCGGCACAATTCATGAGTATACTAATTATTGATTTCTTCAATACTTCAATTCCCATTCGTGTCATCCTCACTGCAGCCACGATTTGCTGGTAGTTCAAGATAAATTAATGCAACTGTCCAATGATTCATTTCTCCCATTCTGCCTATTCATCTTGAGGTTGCATACTATGGGTTTACTTGAGAAGTCTTCGCAGCTTTCAGTGTGTCGTAGCCTTAAAAGTGTTTTGTTGTTGCATTGGAGAAGCACCATAGACGACACTGGAATGGCCTCTACCAGTCGGTGCAGTAGTGTGCTAATTGAACTATCCTGATTTGGCCGCAGAATACCGGGAGGATTCTGTTTTGTCTGTGAGCCCGGGAATTAGAGCCTTCGCAGACGGTCACACGAGGAAGCAAAATCACCAGCCAAGGAGTATCACCGTCAGGAAGAACGGGAATTGGAATGCCTACGTGTGCTTTATTTCTAGTCTCCAAATCCTCGCCTGAGATCTGAATACTGGTCAGCTCTTCAGTTAGTATTTGGGTCAAAGGCTTCTCCGTCCTGTCAGTTCCCGGTTCTTCCCTGCTTTCTATGCGAAACTAGACACGGACTAACTAACATAACTCACAATTCTGAGAGGTGAAGGCTTCAAGTTCCAGGTATAGCACGTTACAGCCCTGCCTCTCATCTCTGAAGAACTTGACCCAATCAAAAATCACGTTCCGGCCATTACGTGATGATCCATTCTCACAGTTGAAATAAGTTCGACCGCACAACAGTCGTTTTACGACGCGCCGCCTCTCCTGACCGCCAGAGCTTGGAGGGTAGGTGTGAGATCTGATCGTAGATACGCGTAGGAGTGAGTGCGTGCTTAATGATCGCTTTCTTGCCGCGGACGAGAGTGTGACTCGTTCACCCGCCGGTACCATCAGACGGCGCTCCTGCAATTAACCCCCCCCCTTCCTTCAGAGGGAGATTGCTCTATTGAAGCCTTGACCTCGGGTCGATCAAGTTGAACGCGGTAATTAACTTCCATGGGGACTTCGTAAGCCCCCGTGGGCCAGTCTCATGGACGAACCAGGCACAACTGTTGAGGTATCCAGTCAGCGATCATGAAATGTTAACCGAAGTTCTGATGTGCGTATTTGATTAAGAA